CTTGCTTATTCAGCTTGAAAATGAGCCAAACTTCATACAAAATATACTGTGAGTCTGTTCACTTTGCAGGAGACAGTATGTGGTGTTTTTGTTTGTTTGTTTGTTTGTCTTTTTCCACCCATTTGGAGATCCTGTCTGTAGAACTCTCAAGGCATGAATTTCACTCACTCATTCTATACCAGCTTGCTGAAACTGGCCAGGTGGCTTCTCTGAATCCAGTCCCTGCCCTCCTTACCCATGCTGACTGAGAGGAAAGATAAGACAATCTCATGTCCTTAGAAGAAGGGAGATCCGGAGCAGAAATCGCACACTTTAGGAGAAAGGGTCAACGAATAGGAGGGAACAATTGGACTTGCATTTTAGATGTTTGGAGCTTGAAGACACTCAGAGAAAAGAAAGGGAGGGCTGGTGCTGCATTTGAAAACGCTAATGGCAAGGCAACTCTCAGGGCTGGTGCAAGAAGCTCTCAAAGAAAAAATTCTGTGAAGATAAAGTGAGATCAGCGAAAGGACCGGCCACAAAGTCAGGTAGATAGTGCACACTACCATCCATCAACTACTGCCCACCCAACCCTGCCAGATTCTGCCAACGGGCACCCACCAAATCTCCTTCCATCCTTCAGCCCACGAATCCTAATCTTGCCGAATCCTGGGTGCCCGGCACGGTCCTGCTCCTTTCTGGGGGGCTCCTCATGGTCTGTGTGTTCCTGACTAGTGCCTGGGGGTCTCGGAACCCTCAAGCTCCCTCGTGCCTCCCTCTCCTCCCGCTTACTCAGGCCCTAACTGGCACGAGGTCCGGTTAGCCCAGGCTGGCTCTGCCCTTGCTCTCGGCGACCGACGTCCTACTAAGGGATCTGGAGAGCCCGCTGCTGCTCACAGCCGCCCGCTGCCCGCTCACACAGCCCGCACCCCCAGGTTGGCCCCCGAGCCGGGAGGTGTCTTCSGACCCCGGAGGCGCGAGGGGCGGAGTTTGCGGACCCGGGAGGGGGTGTGCCGAAGGGGCGGGGGCGGGGGCGGGGCGCGGGACTCGGTCCTGCCGGCGCGCTGCGGCTTACCCGGGCATGAGGCTGGGGGGCACGAAGGCGGCATTGAACTCGGTCAGTAAGGTGCCGGCGCTGCGGGAAGCCATGGTGGGTGCGGTGAGCGCGCGGCTAGCCTCGGCGCTTCGGCTAGTGCCCGGCGGTAAACAACCCGCGGGTCACCCGGCAACTGAGCGCCTGGCAACGCGAGTCTGGCCCCAGCGACCCTCGCATTCCGGGACACTGGGTCCTTCTCGCTGTTCCCTCCCTGGAGCAGCCCCCACGGGGCGCTCCCCAAAGGTGCCGCCCCGGAGCGCCCCGTCTCTATCGTGTTTTGCTCTGTCCACCCACCACCGCCCCCAAAACCGAGCTTGCCCTCAAGCCTCAGTTTTCACATCCACGAATGGGCTCAGCTGCCAAATGRAGGTGGAAATGCAGTGGAGATGTCCCAAGTGCCCTATCACGGCGGGTCTAGCGGTGACCGGCTTGGAACGCTATGGTGGGAAAGGACAGGCGGCTCACCTGGCTTTAAAGGAGGATCAGGCCCAAGAGCCATCCCTCCCACAGTGCCCCAGTTCTGTGGGGGGTTCCAGGAAGAGGCTCTGCAGTAGGCCTCGCTTGGTGTGTTTGCTTAGGACTATAATTTAAGAGTGTGGAGGGGGCGTGTGCATGCCCTTTGGGCAGAGGGGCATTTTTCTCATTAATCTCTCCTTTCTCCCTGGAAACTTCCTCTCCCCCTCCTTTTGTTCCTCAAGCTGCTCCACAAAAGTAGTTTTATAAGTAAGGGTCAAAAATCAAATTACAAAAATGTCTGGGTCGGTGATTTCCATTAGTCTCCAATCCACAGTTCACTGGGGCCCTGGAGTCTGCAGTGTTGGTGTTTGCCCCACAGAGCAAATCATCTGAGGATCCCTGTGAGCTTTGCTTTATCTTAAGCCTTCCTGGGCCTCCACATCTGGTCTTCTCCAGGCCACCCTCTTATCAGCCCTAGGCAGTGTGCTGGGCAGGGCCAGGATCTTATGTATTGCATGAGGATTAAGCGTATGGGGACAGCTTTCAAAGTGCCATGCTGTCTGTGACTTAGACCCGGACCCTCCCTCCCTGGCAGCAATTCTGGAATCAATTAAGAATGCCTGCAGTTTGCCTTCATTGCTCACAGTCCATCTCTTCCCCTCAGAGGTCAGATGAGAAGCATCACCTGCAGAGTTGGACTCTGTAAATGGCAGCTGGTGAAGACCACAGACACTAATGAGCTCACAGGATGCCATTGCAACCAGAATTCTCCAGAGATGCTCTCTGACAGGTGACAAGGAAACTGGAAGGAGCCACAGGCTTGCAAGAGGCACAAAAAGCAGAACTGAGGCCTGGTGGGAGAAGGAGCCACAGGGATATGAGGGGAAGGAATGGCCACCCGTCCTTCAGAATCCAGTCATATCTGTATTTTCCTGAAGTCTCCTTGGGGAACATGCACTACAATAAGAAAAATGTTAGGAAAAAAATGTTGAAAGAGCAATCCCGGACTCAGATGTGACTATTTCAGGAAGRCTTTCCAATGACCCCGATGGAGCTGCTCACAGCTCCATTACCCTGTGCCCACTTGTGTATATTTTAGTCCATTCAGCTCTTCCACTTGGGGTTCAGCCCAGTATCTGGCTTGTCTCAGAAGGGTCAGCTAACTAATTTGAGATGCTATGTGCCATTTTACAGATGCAGAAAGTGAAGTTCAGTAAAGCTCAATCAATGCCTTGCCCAGGACAGGTTTGTGCGCTTTTCCTAAAGAGACACAGGGCTAAAAGAAGTCTTCTGAAATTCACCCCTTTCAGGAGAAACSTCCAAGGACCTCAGGAAGAGATGGATTCTTTTTCTATCAAGTACTGCTAAGCCTTATAAACACAGATCACCTGCCCTCATGGGTGGGAAATGCTAAAGAGAAATTGGTTTTCTTTAAAAAAAAAAAAACACTGAACTTACCAGGATGTTAAAATTTTAGACATTCATTTCTATTCAATAAATGCAATTTTCCAAGACAATTCCTAATTCCATATGGTTAAAAATGTGTGGAAAAGATGAATATATGGGAGGAGCAGGAATTGAAGGAAAAAAGAAGAATAAGGAAAAAGAACAAATAGAAAGAAATAAGGAATAAGGACAGTGTTAAGGAAACATCTAGAAGGAGGARAGAAGGCTCTTGGGACAGGGCACAGAGGGCCTTAGGTATTGAATGGGGGTTAAGAGTATTGAGAAACATCCTGCAAGTTACTCAGGCTACAGAATCCAAGGGAGTACACTGTGAAAGTTTAATATTTCTCTTTTTAAACCTTTAGACTTTGTTAATAGGTCATCAAACTCACCCTTTTATCCTATCGATATTTATTGGGTATCCTACTATGTACAGAATACCCTGTGAAGCTCTCGGGTGCAAAGATGCTAGGCACCAGGGCCTCCCCCAGGTTAGCAGGGGGTGGGTTGGGGCGGGGGTGGGAAGAGGCACGTGGAGCAGCCTCGCATGCTGTGAGATGAGACAGGCAGGAGCCACACAGAGGAGGACCATAAGTTTGCCTGGGTGCACATGCAGAGGCACCCCCAGGAATGGGCATCTGAGGAACTGAGGCCAGGAGATTGGGTGGGGTGGGGTGGGGTGGGGTGGAAGACATACCACCAAGACAGAATGACAAGAATGCCAGGCTTGGTGGCGCACACCTGCAATCCCAGCAGCTCAGGAAGCTGAGGCAGGAGGATCATGAGTTCAAAGCCAGCCTCAGCAAAAGCAAGGAGCTAAGCAACCCAGTGAAACCCCCTCTAAATAAAATACAAAATAGGGCTGGGGATGTGGCTCTGTGGTCGAGTGCCCCTGAGTTCAATTCCCAATAACCCCTGAAARAAAGAGAGAAAATGGCAAAGCAGGATGGAGAGACCCTGCACAGTTTCCAGGGACTGAAATCCCGGCCTCTAGGGTCACTTTCCCTACAAGCCCCTCCTGAAGGAAAGGAGGGACCATTCTCTTTTGTTCCTTGTAAATTCTGCCACAGACCTCCCTTCTCTGGCCTCTAGCAGCTGATTAGAGCAGGAAGCAGGACAGTCCTCCTCCTGTGACCACCTGTCAGCTGTCTCCCCTGCCCTAGCCTTCTTCATCCCTTCATCCCCTGGGTTGGATGCCTGGTCTTTAAGCACGACCCTTGCAGAACAGAAGCCTCTATGGCTGTTACTGCAAGCATCTCCAGTCCCCCGCTGCCAGTCTGGTCTGCAGCCCCAGCCTCTCTGCCTCCCAAGATTCAGCTCCTATGATAAGAAATCAGAACTCAGCTTCTCAGGGACATGATCTTAGGGCAGGGGGACAGGTGGTCTCTTCTTCTCATAAAGCTTGTATTTCTGAGGGACCCCACTAGGTATTGCCCTAATGCTATCTGATTAATGTTAGTTTTCCATCCAGGAGGCTTTGGATTAGGATTTCTACGGCACAGTGCCATCCATCCACAGCAGCCAAGCCTGGCTTGTCCAGGTTCCCTGAACCTTGCAGGCATGAGTGACACAGGTGGTCAACTTGGTGCAGGAGGCAGAGTGGACCATCCCCCAAACTTCAGTGCAACAGCYCAGCTTCTGTGCACACAAATCACGAAGTTCCTGATCCCCATGTCCACTGCCATCTACCTGCTCTTGATAGCAGAGCTTGCTCAGCCCTGCCAAGGAGCTAGTAGGAGCCTCCACTCCAATAGCTGAGAGGAGACACCTGAAGCCGGACAGGGCTTTATCTGGGAGCCAGCACTGCTGAATAATGAATTCCAACTCTGTGTGCACTCCCCGGCTGCTCACTGGGGGCACAACAGACACACACACACACACACACACACACACACACAGTAACACATGCTGGGCTGACAGCTCAGAGGGGCGGGGGCTGGCGAGGCTGGGAGGCTCTGTGAGTCGCTGGAAGGAGCAGCTCAGCTCGGTTGCCTTGGTCTCTGTGGGCAGCATCAGCAGGAGGAGGCAGCGGCAGCGGCAGTGGGGAGAAGAGGGAGGTGTGCAAGCCACRCTCCGCCAGCTACTCCCTCCACGCTGCTTTGCCTGCCAGTGCCCAGGCTGTCCTCGCCAGCATGGCCCTGCTCGTCCACCTCAAGACCGTCTCGGAGCTGCGGGGCAGGGGCGACCGGATTGCCAAAGTGACTTTCCGAGGTAGGGAAGCCCCTATCCCAGCTCTGCAAGCTGGCCCAGCCTGTGCTCTGGTGGCTGATTGGGTAGGGCAGGGCTGGAAGGATGGATGGCAAAGTTCTTGCAGGGACTGGCACCATGAGGCTTTTCCTTGGTAGCCATCTGTCCCTGGCCTGACCGGCCCTTGAGATTGCCTGAAAATCAGGGTGCCCTGTATTTCCACATGTCTCTCTTTGCACCTGCCAACGTGCCAGCGCCCTGGCAGGGTGCAGAGCCCTCTGCTCAGGGAGGCAGAAGCAAGGAACCTCCCACTGGGCTCAGGGACCCAGAAYTGAAAGGCCCAGCCCTGCAGAGCCTTCCTGGCCCCTTCACCCCCTCTCTCAGGTTGATTTCTTTGGGTTCAATRAAGAGGTGTGGACTTGGAAGAGCAGGGTAGCTGGTAGACACTGAGGCAGCTAGGGACTCTCCAGGCCCCAGGACAATGGAGATGGTGGGGATACTGTGGCTTCTCTTAGATCTACTGTTTTCCTGGGATCCTGCAACTCCTCAGCCCCTCCTCTATCAATTATTTTCCTATCCTCCTTCAACCAATGTGTTCGGTGACCACTTATTACAATCTACCAAGGGTGAGGGCTGGAAACAGCTGAGCATGACCCAGGCCCTGGCCTCAAGGAGCCCGATCTGGTGGGGCAGGGGCACCAGTGGGGAGACAATCAGGACAGTTGCGTGATAGAGAGGTTGGGGACAAGAGCAGCATGTAAACTGCAGAAGCAACACACTAATCCCAGTGGGGTGGCAGTYAGGAAAGGCTTCCAGGAGGAGGCAGCACTCAGCTGGCCAGAGCCCAAGGGATCAGCAGGAGGCAGCAAGGGCAGGAGATGATGACGGGAGGCAGAGGGAACAGCATGCTCAAGGCTGGGGAAGAGCTGGAATGCAGGAACGGACAGAGGTTTCACAAGGCTGGAGAAGCTGTAAGAGCTGAGACCCCAGAGCCAGGCAGAGCCACGGAGGCAGGTGGGACTTCTCCAGGACACAGGATGTCAAGCAGGGACAGGCAGGCCAGGCTGCCCTCTGCCTTTTGCCCACCCACCTTGGCTCTCTGCCTGGCCACAGCCCAACTCTCTGGTCCAGGGGATCTCAATGTACTCCTCACCAGATCCAGCCCCTCCTACCCAGAGAGGGGTCTGAGAGTGGGGCAGAGATGGGGGAGGCTGAGAGCGCCACCACATTGAAGACCAAGTGAGCCTTGGGCCCAGGCTGCACRCAGTATCTGCAACTCTACCAGGAGGGACAGGAGATGTGGCAGCTCCCGCAGAATGCTCCAACAGAAATCCKGGCCACCCCCAGCACCCCCTCACAGGTCTTGGGTTGCCCGGCTGCAGCCTGCTGTGCATAGGGTAGGRTGGGGGTGGAGGTGACAGCAGCAACTCTGTTGGCGGGAGGAGGGACAGGCAAGCTGGGCTGGCAGCCTGTTGCTTCCTAGCCCAACCCATGCCCACCTTCTCTGCAGCACCCTGCATCTCTGTGGGCCACCTGCCGGCTCACACTGGCTTTAGGAGAAGCAAGTCTGCTGTTTGATCCGTGAAACACAGCCCTGTGTTCCACACACGGCCCGGGGCCTGGCTGCTCAGCCCCCAYGTTGCTGTGATAAGACAGTCCAGGCTGAGCAGGGTTAGACCCATTTCAGGCAGAGAAWCAAAGTATAGAGAGACCTGCTTGGGATTAGTGGGGAGGCCGAAGTGTAGGACCTCACCCAGGTTGCTCAATCCTGTAAGCTCTGTTTTTTCCCCCAGGGTCAACTGGGGTAAGCACCTGTCCATCTGAGACCCAAATTTCCCTTTGAGCAGTGAGGCTGACCACCCAGGAATTAGCCTATCTGCAGCCTGGTCCCTGCAGGCGGAGTGGAGAAATCCATTTCTAGGCTCTACATTTGCAGATAGCTATAGGCAGGGCTCCTGGGGAAGGGGGCTGGGCAGGTAGCAGTATAGGCAGAAGACAAGCAGATTTCCAGAAATAATCCTTTGTTACAGAAAGGCCTTAGCCAGTCACCCTCTGCATCCAGCAGTTGACAACGATAAGCTCCCCAAAAGGCCAACCCCAACAACAGTTCAGAGGGAGCAAACCRCTTTGAATGCGGCACAGTGCTTCATGACACGCACAACCACTGTTGTGATTTAGCAGGAAGAATCCAGAAATTTGTGATCAGTCAGGGGAGATACTGGTTCCAAGTTCCCCAGATCCCCTGAAGGAAGCCCAGTGCCAGGCTGGGTGAGGGACAGGCCTGGGACCCTGAGGCTGAAAGAGACCCTGCCCCTGTCCTAAGAAGTTACAGTCTCATTGGTCTAGACAGAGACACAGGGAAGTTAGATTCCAATCCCAGACATGCCTGCAACCACAAGGCCTGARACTTTAGTTTGTCATTAACAAGCTGAAGATAATGGCTTCCATTTAACTCAGAGGTCTGTGGTCATGAGAAGTAAGCGGGAGTGGGCTATCCAGGAAGGAGCCATCTTGACAGCAGGTGCTACTCAAAGAGAGGAAGTATTGCTGGGTGTGGTGGCGCACGCTTGTGATCCCAGCGACTCGGGAGGCTGAGGCAAGAGGATCCAGGGCTCAAAGCCAGCCTCAGTAACTTAGCGAGGCTCTAAGCAATTCAATGAGACCCTGTCTCTAAATAAAATACAAAAAAAAAGGGCTCAGGGTATGTGGCTCAGTGGTTAAGTGCCCCTGAGTTCAAACCCAGGTACCAAACAAAAATAAAAACAAAGAGAGAGAGAAAGGAAGTGTTCGCTTCAGTCTTATTCTTTCTCAGCTATAAATTAATTTGCTGCATCAATCAGAGGGCCATGGGATGCAGGATGAGCAGGGCCTCTGAGTTCTAGCCCACCCTTGTGGCCAGTGCTCAGCCACCTGAGCCCCCGGACATGGGGACTTGGGCTGCTGGAGAACAAGAGTGAGTGACAGACTGTCTGGGGCCAGCCAGCCCTGTCATCTCCTGTCACCTTCTGTTCCTTGAGCATTCTTGCCAAAACATAAGGGTGAGGATGTTTTGGGTGAGACGGTGACAACTGAAGGCTGAACCTTAGTGCCACGCAATACACATGGACTGACCACTGTCACAGATGACTGCCTGGGCAAGGCTTCTCTGGAGATTCATCCCTGCTCCTTCTCTCCCATCCCCACCCCAAACCCCACCCCACTGCATTCCCACTACACGGCCAGTCCCCAGAGAGGCTGACCTTTTAATATTGCCACACCTTAAGACCATTTCTTCTGCCCAGAATGATCCCCACCCTCCACCTTGAGAATTTCTATTAACTCTGGGCATCCTTCAAGGCCCGGCTCACATGCCACCTCCTCCAGGAAGGCTTCTGTCCCCTTGCAGAACTCTGTGCAGCCTCCTACAGCTATATTTTAGGGACAGGCCACGCTTCTGTATGCACTACTTCTGTGCCCCTTTGAGACAGATCAGATATCTACTGAGCTCTGTRCTAAGCACCAGCTGCTCCTCAAGATGAGTAAGAAATGGCTTCTGTCCCTGAGGCCTTCTCTGTTGAATGGGTTTAAATTCTTCTACTGTGGCACAGCCATTCTCTGGCTCAGCTCCACAACTGTGAACTCCAACTAGAACTTTCTATCCAAGGGAGATCAAGGAACTAAAAGAGGTCCCAGGAGCTAAAAACCAAAAATTTGGGCTCATCCTCCCTCTGTTGACCTCACCAGCTCAGAGAATCTTCCAGGGCCCCAGAGGGAGGCTGACCTCATCCTCTGGCAAATGTTGGGGGATCCAATTCTGGACCACATGTAGGAAGAAAGAGGGGCTGTAGTGGCCCTCCCTCTTCACTGAGCACGCTCTTCCTGAAGCTTGCTGTGTTGGCACGGGGAAGGGGTGGGGACTGCACAGTCCTGCCACAGGAAACCATGCAGGGCACACAGGGGCTGAGGGGGACTCAGGGGAGGGGTAAGGTGCAAGATGGGCTGGAACAAGGAGCTCTTGATTTGGGTCTTRAAAGACATGCCTGCTTGTCCACATGGAGATACAGAAAGAGAGGCAAGGAGGGGTTGACAGGAAGGCCAAGCCATCTGGGTGGGTACACCAGGACCTGCAGAGGGGGGATCCCAGCTGAGAACAATGGCTGGGAAGCCACAGCAAAGCTACTGGTGACTGCTGGGAAGAGACTGGGCCCTGCCCTGGACTGCTGTTGCAGGGAACATCTCAGACTCCAAATTAGATTTATTTCCCCCTGTGAAATGGGGGAGTTGTCCCTCTTGATGATAAATACAACTTCTATCTGGAAACTTCTCTGCCATTCCTGGTAATGGAGGCAGAGTATCCCAGTGCCCCACCCCTGAGATGATCCTGGCTATCTGGGCCTGCATGTGGAGTGGACTCTGCCCCAGCCTAGTACCACCACCCTTGGAGAACAGGGGTGATCATTGCCCCCGCTGAGGGCAGGAGATAGGGGGTCCCTCAGGACAGCCTCTGCAGGCGGTGGACACAGCTCTGTGCTTTCGCCATTAACACATAGGACACAGCCCTGGGCCCTCCATACTTCCCAGCGCACGCAGGGCCCTTTCCCACCCTCAGGGAAGCCTTCTCTGCCTCAAGCCCCAGGTGGTGATGTTCCCTCCTCCTCCTACCCAGAGCAAGCCCAAGCCAATGCAGACTCAGCTGAGACTAGGCATTGCACCCAGAAAATTCCCCAGGCTCTTCCTGCTTTGATAAGAGGAGTATATTTTCATGCTATAAAAATGATTGTAAAAATCATCTTCTGCTGTACAGCAAGAAAGCTGCTGGAAACATCCAGAGAGAGCAGACTCGCAGATGATCTCCAGAACAGCTGAGGCTGGGTTCTCCCGTCCGCCTTTACTACTAATAGGAAAGCTTCCTCTCTCCCACCTGCACCCATCCTGGAGTTTGAAACTTCTTTCCTTTTGATTTTTTTTAAATAATAAAAAGCCTTGAATATACACAAGAGTAGGGGGAATAACCCCATCCATTTTCAAAGACTATCAACTATGCC